TCATGAGCAGTCAGATTGCAGATCTGCAGAAGGGTTTGCGATCACACCCCATTCTACGACACAGAACTTACCACGACTGTTAAGTCAGAATGTATAAGCTCATTTCATCATAAGTATAAGTAAATTAGACCATATAGCCCAGTTCTGGCCTGTCCTCACTGGCTTCCAGTTTTTCAAATTGCTACAGACCTGACAGCTTTGTATTCATAGCTTAAGACATTCATTCATTCATTTATTTACATTGGCTTTTAATATATAGTACAGTGGTATGGATCTATTGCATAACTTTTCTCACATCAACAAGTTGCATACGCATCCACACAATAAAGAACTGGATAACATAGTGTGGATGCTTATGCATCCACACAATAATAGGATAACATAGTATGGATGCTGAATCAGCATCCATACAATAAATAATTGGATAACATAGTATAAATGCTGAATCAGCATCCATACAATAATAAAGAAGAAGATAAGAGTGTGGATGTTTGCATCCACACTAATAAAGAATAGGATAACATAGTGTGGATGCTTCATCAGCATCCACACAATAAAGAACAGGATAACATAGTATGTATGGATGCTTTACAGCTTCCACACCATTAAACCAGCAGTTTTACTACCTTTTGCAGCAGCTATATTCATAGTTCTGTAGTAACTGAAGTACTTCAATTACATTTTTGCAATTTTTGTGTAGTTAACTACTGCAACTACAAATTAAAGGAATTACTTTTTTATTTTTATTTTACCATTGCTTCTTTAACCCTAATCGCCTCTTAGATCAGAACATTGGCAGACTCGTCATGTGACACGTGTTCAAGCTGTCTCTGTTCATACGATGTAAAAGGTGTAAGTTCAGGACCATTTTATTTAAGTTTGTACAAGTCAGATGCTGCAAAACTAGTAACAAGTAACAACAGGCTCATGTTTTTTAGACCAGCACTAGTCATTCAAGTTGTCAAGGTGCACTTAAATATATACATAGAGGTGCACTGTCTTATATATATAAATATATGTTTTAGATAATACAAAATATAAATATGTTTACAAGAAATAGGCTTTATGTGATAAGCCCAGATGGGATTGTTTTGTTTAGAACAGTTTTCTGTCTCAGCTAAATAAACTCAAGTGAGTGTCATTGTTTTGCTAACATGAGTTTTCTTTTATCATGTTATAGTTTTGTATCACATGTACATTGTCAGTTTGATCGCTTTTTTACAAAGTAGTTTGAATTACTAAGTAACTTTAGTTTAACAAATTACATTTCTCTGGAGTAGTTTTGCTGTAGTTTAACATCCTCAAGTGTGAAGTAATTCATAGTTTGCAAAGCTACAATTTCCAAGTAGTTTTCCCCCAACACTGTACACTATGTCTGTAGCATCTGGGTATGTTTGGCCCTCTGCGGTGTGGAGAGATGTACGCCTTAGACAGACTGCTGAGAGAGGTTCAAGTGCTCAAAATCATCCGATGCATCTCCAAGGATAACCCAAAGCACTTCAGACAGCCTGCTGAAGGTAAAGTCCACTATTTATATATCTACATGGATCTTTGTCTTTGTTTGTGTGCACATTACGTGTAGCCCTCACTTCCATATGCAGGGGGAGCCAGTAGATCACAATTGTTACATAAGGATACTCCCCACTGACAGCATGTGAAAAGCTGAAACATTCATACTTCTTTTCTTCTTTTCCACTGATTCTTTCATGTATACACAGTAACACAGATATATGCATATATACACACACAGTATATACTGTATATACAGTGGGTACGGAAAGTATTCAGACCCCCTTAAATTTTTCAACTCAACTCAACTCCACTCAACTTTATTTATATAGCGCTTTACCACAGCACAGCTGACCAAAGCACTTAACATATCATACAAATATAAAAACAACACATAAAAAGCTATAAACAATAATATAAACACTAACACTACAGACAGAGTCTCATTCCTGGTCAAACGCCAATGAATACAAGTAGGTCTTCAAATAAGACTTAAAAGTAGACAGTGAGGGGGCCTGCCTAATATAAAGCAGCAAGGCATTCCACAGGTTTGGACCTACCACAGCAAAGGCTCTATCCCCCCTAGTTTTCCACCTGACACTCGGTGCCTACAGAAGAAG